ATCCCCCTTGTGGCTAAGGGGTTGCCATTAAGGGTTGAGGCAATAGATCCCCCTTGTGGCTAAGGGGTTGCTATTAAGGGTTGAGGCAATAGATCCCCCTTGTGACTATGAGGTTGCTATTAAGGGTTGAGGCAGTAGATCCCCCTTGTGGCTAAGGGGTTGCCATTAAGGGTTGAGGCAATAGATCCCCCTTGTGGCTAAGGGGTTGCTATAAAGGGTTGAGGCAATAGATCCCCCTTGTGGCTAAGGGGTTGCCATTAAGGGTTGAGGCAATAGAATTGCAGCCAACATTTATCCCTGCCTAATCATAAGAGGTGAATAAATGGGTTTGAATAACTGGTGTCTATGCATCTCTTAGCTCAAGCAGGTGAGGTGGTTTTTCTTCAGTTTGTAACACCTGAGGTAAGTCAAAATCATCTTTCCTGTTTCAGCATCATATGATCTAATTTGTGTTGGTGTGCCGTAAAAACAAACAAACAAGCATATATGGACTTTTATTATACATTATGAACTTTTAAAATCCTTCATTTTATGACGAAAAAAATTATCTGTTCACATAATTCAGAACTTCTTCTGAACTTTGACCTATACAATGTATTATGTGTAACAAAATAACCTGAGTGCTCACAATGGTGAACATAGTGCCATTTTATATCAAATTATTTCTCATCTAGGGACCTTATTCATGCCCTTGAACTATGTCTTATGATGGTTAACGGTTATATCAGAAAATGCTGACACATCTGTTTATTTAATCATCTTTCGAGTGACTGACACTGCATTACCTGGGCCCTGTTTACACATGACTCAGCGTCAAAATGACAAACATTTGAGTTAGAATCTCTTAATTAAGAGATAATTAAATAATCTATACAGTCTGAATTTCAAACTTTCATCTGACCTTTGACAACTACGTGTGACCTAAACCATGGAAACAAAGACCTGAATTTGCATGAAGCACTCCTCTTCACAGTAGTGATTAGTTGTGCCATGTGCAATTAATGCCTCCATGCATATACATGTTTTGCTCCAAACAAGCATTTTCCTCTGACCTCATAGTGTTACTTTGACCTTGAAACATGATTATTTGTGTGGCACTATGTCTCATAATGGTAAAAATTTGTATCAAGTTATACCAAACTCCCTCAATTGCTCCAGACAGATTTCTAATATAATATTCTCTTTGCAAATTTTCACTGCCTATTTACTCGATTCAAAGTGAATTTGTATATTTATCATAATTTTTACATATTGTAATTGGAAGGCCATAAATCTTTACATTTTGTAAAACTGTAAATATCTAAACCTCTACAGATATTAATATTACCAACCCTGATATTGTCAGACAGTGCTCTAGTATAAATATCAGTGAGTACATATAGTTGAAGTCAAAATTAACCTTAAATCTCAGAGAACGACAAAGCTAAGATTAAACTAGGAATCTGCAAATTTTGCACTTTGAGATTTGCACAAACACAAAATTAAAAAAAAAATGCTAAGAAGAAGTATATAATTGCAAAAATTTTCTGTTTGCATGCTACAAATTTTTGGAAGTAAATTTGGCTTAATGAGATAGAGTTCCAATGTCTTGTGATATTTCGACGTCAATTCAGCCAAATAGACATAAATTGAAGTCTTCATGTCTCAAACTTTTCAAGCAATTTCCTTCAACTTTGTCTTACCCACAAGTTCTACTGCTATTATTTTGGTTTTTCTTACTCTCAGAGGGCCTCTCCAACTTAAAATCTTAACAATTCTTTGACAATCTTTGTTTTGATCTTACATTATATTTTAGTTTAAAGTATTTCCCTTGCAAATTGGTAGTTTTAAAAATAATAAAACTAAGGGAGATAAATAAACAAGAGGGCCATGATGGCCCTGAGGTCGCTCACCTGTATATAGGCCCCAGAGCGGGGCCAGTTTAAACCCCACGGCTTTTATTTGAACAAACTTTGAAGACACCCATTAGAAGATGTTTCATGATGTTAAGTTTTTACTACACACATATAATGAAAAACAATGACCTCCCCCCCTGGCAGGGCCAATTTTAACCCAAGGGCTTTTATTTGAACAAACTTGGTTGACACCAATAAGAAGATGTTTCATGCTAAACATCTAAGCTCTAGCTCATTGGGTTTTTTAAAAGAAGATTTTTTAAGGTTTTTACTACACACATATAGTTAAAAACAATGACAACCCTGGGGAGGGGCCAATTTTGACCCAAGGGCTTTTATTTGAATAAACTTTGTAGACACTTACTAGAAGATGTTTCATGCTTAATATCTAAACTCTAGCTCATTGGGTTTTTTTCAAAGAAGATTTTTAAGTTTTTGCTATACACATATAAGTAAAATCAATGCCCCCCGGGACGGGGCCAATTTTGACCCAGGGCTTTTATTTGAACAAACTTTGTAGACACTCACTAGAAGATGTTTCATGCTTAATATCTAATCTCTAGCTATTTGGGTTTTTTCAAAGAAGATTTTTAAGTTTTTACTTTACACATTTAAGAAAAATCAATGACCCCCGGGGCGGGGCCAATTTTGACCCCAGGGCTTTTATTTGTACAAACTTTGTAGACACTCACTAGAAGATGTTTCATGCTTAATATCTAAACTCTAGCTATTTGGGTTTTTTCAAAGAAGATTTTTTTAAAGTTTTTGCTATATAAGGAAAATCAATGACCCCCCGGGGCGGGGCCAATTTTGACCCAAGGGCTTTTATTTGAACAAACTTGGTAGACACCTATTAGAACATGTTTCATGCTAAATATCTTAGCTCTAGCTCTTTGAGTTCTTTAAAAGAAGAGTTTTTAAGTTTTTACTATATGCATATAGGGAAAATCAATGACCCCCTAGGGCGGGGCCAATTTTGACCCCTGGGCTTTTATTTGAACAAACCTGGTAGACACTCATTAGAAGATGTTTCATGCTAAATATCTTAGCTCTAGCTCTTTAGGTACTTTAAAAGAAGAATTTTTAAGTTTTTACTATATGCATAAAGGGAAAATCAATGACCCCCTAGGGTGGGGCCAATTTTCACCCCAGGGCTTTTATTTGAACAAACTTGGTAGACACTCACTAGAAGATGTTTCATGCCAAATATCTAAGCTCTAGCTCTTTGGGTTTTTTAAAAGAAGCTATTTAAAGTTTTTCTTTCGGTTGCCATGGCAACCAGAGTTCTGCATGGAATTAAATTCTTTGAACAAGGTTTAAAGGTGACCACCAAAGGAACATTCCTGTGAAGTTTGGATGAAATTGGCTTAGTGGTTTATGAGGAGATGTCATTTAAAGTAAAAGTTTATGGACGGACGGACGGACGGACGGACGTACCAAAATTTGATGTTTATGAGGCAAATCAGCTCATAAACACCACCTGGACCAACGTCCATAAGCAAAATAAGCTCATAAAAACAAAAAAATAGCTCTTAATTTGAATTTTATGAGTTTTTGTTCTTTATTTAACTACGGAATGAAGCTCATAATAATCAAATGTTTGCTCGGACAGACAGACGGACAGACGACGGACGGCATCACAAAAGCTCACCCTGTCACTTTGTGACAGGTGAGCTAAAAATAAGACTTCTCACACACTACACTTCTTATTGTTACTTATAACATAAAATTATGATTTAAATTAAGTAAATCTTGTTATTATACACTTAGATACTAACAAAAGCAATAGTACCATAAAGGCGGGGCAATATACATGTACCTCCAAATACAAACAATCTTTATCTAAATAAGGAAATACACAAAGTTAACACATAAACAGAATATGTATTCTTATTTCCCTACATATCCTTTTCACTCAACAAAAACAAAGAAATTAAACTGCATATGTACATGTATACAAAATTCAGAAATCCTCTTGCACACTATTAAAATACATGAATATAACTAAGCAGTTAAAAAGTCAAGAGAGCTTACAAGATTGATACAGACAGATGGACAGACAGACAGAAAAAAATTGAGGTAAGTAACAAAAGTGGCCTGTAAGTATTCTTGACCATGATCTATGTTTGCCAGTACAGTATAACCTTTGCAAATCTATTTCAGGTATACAGACTTTTCTATTTAATAGTTCACTTTCATCTTATCTTATTATGAGTATAAGCATGAAGTTATGGCAAGTTATCTAAACTTCCTTTGATAATATTTTAAAAGATATAGAACAGACATTGTATTGCTAAGAAAAAGACAGATAGACAAAAAGCCAACCAGAGGAATGAGATAATACTGTATACCCCTTTGGCATACATTAAGTTTCAGGGAATGGTCATAAAAACCAGGATTCTATTTTGAGTTGTTTATCTACCATTTTTTTCACTTACTTGCTATCTAAAATTAAATGTAAACCTAAATAAATTTCAAAATCAAATAATTTCTAAGCCAGAAACGACATCAAATCTGCCAAGCCACCAGTTAAATCTTACATACACTTTCCAAACATTTTGATAGAGGTTTAACAATTGAATCAAAAAAAAGTTTGATAAATTCTTTAAAAACATATTGCCTAAAGACCATTCATGAGAACTACCTAAAAACTCACCCCATCAATTCAAGTATGTGCTCAAACGTTCATAATTTAAACAATATAGTAAATTATAAAGAATTTTGATCCTGATTTTTAAACCTTTATAAACAATAAGCCAGTATCCATTTTGTCAGTATCTTGTTGCCATAGTAACAATTATTTCAAACTATACATAAATAGTCTGCACAGTCAACACAAACAAATCTAGACAGATGGTCTAAAAAAGTTTATAATGAAACTGAAGTTTTGGAAACATATCATTCTATGAACAAACACAAATACCAGTTTAAACCTGTTTCAAAATCTATATAAACCTCATACAATAGTGTTTACTTTTACGGTATAATCTTTCACTTACTAGAAGCAAAGGTCCAAATCATGATTCACATTTAATGCCTTTCAAATGAAGTATATTTCAATAAAAAATAACTAATCACACAACACACACAGCATGGAAAACTCACCTCTTTGGGATAAGATTTTCTGAATGCTGAAAAAGTCTCCAGTCTCGAGTCCACCAAGCCCACAGCTTCATAGTCAGCCACTCCCCCTAATGTAGACCTGGAAATATAAATCAATAATTTAAAACAAAAGCTGTCGGTATGACAGCAATGCTCGACTATTCTTAGTGCTTGATAGTAAAAGAGCCTTAATAATGTAAGATTTTCTGAATTAATAACAAAAGGACAAAAATTTTCTTTAAATCCATGTTAAAGTTCTAGGCCTTGTAGAGAATCCTATTATGCTCTCAAAGAAGAGTATAAAATTTCAATTTGTTTCAATAGAATATGAAAATATCTGAGGTGGTATGCAAACCTAAATGTAAATTCTAAGATGAAAAAGGGGCATAATTCTGTCAAAATGTTTGATACAGTTACCTCCTCCTGTCTACAGGTTGGGGTTATAATCATGAACAAGTGTGCAAAGTTTCAAAGCCATATGTCAATGAACTTTGAAAATATTTGAGGTATTACAAAAACTTGAAGGTAAATTCAAAGTCGAAAAAGGGGCATTATTCTGCCAAAGTGCTTGATACTGCAACCTCCTCCTGTCTACAGGTTGGGGTCATGATGGTGAACAGGTGTGCAAAGTTTCAAAGCCATATGTCAATGAACTTTGAAAATATTTGAGGTATTACAAAAACTTGAAGGTAAATTCAAAGTCGAAAAAGGGGCATTATTCTGCCAAAGTGCTTGATACTGCAACCTCCTCCTGTCTACAGGTTGGGGTCATGATGGTGAACAAGTGTGCAAAGTTTCAAAGCCATATGTCAATGGACTTTGAAATTTTTTTAGGTATTACAAAAACTTTAACGTAAATTCTAAGTTGAAAAAGGGGCACAATTCTGTCAAAATGCTTAATATAGTTACCTTTTCCTGTCTACAGATTGGGGTTATAATGGTGAACAAGTGTGCAAAGTTTCAAAGCCATATGTCAATGGACTTTGAAAATATTTGAGGTATTACAAAAACTTTTAACCTAAGTGGTTACGCCGACGCAGACGCCAATACTCGGATGACTACAATAGCTCTACTTATTATTATTGAATAGTAGAGCTAAAAATAACAGGTGTCATTAGGTAAACCTGAAACATCTATGAATATCACTTCATTAAGGACATAAAAGCCCAAAAATTGTCCAATATGTAAATGCACATAAATTACTTAAAAAATTACTTTACTATGAAAGCCAAGTTTATTCACCTAATTATGTTAAATAAATTATATTGGCACTAGGAAATGAAAAATTGTACTGAACACGTAGACTCCTGAGATCTCTAGACCATGGTTATTTTTCATGATTTTGAAAAAGGACCAAACTTATTAACATTTAAATTCACAATAATATACCCTAGAATTATTAGTTAGATTTGAATACACTAAAAGCATGAGAGTTGTTCATATAAACATGCATTTATGACAGTGGTAAAGTCAAAAGACTCTATGAATGTTTCTAAATGTAGAGATCCCATATATCTTCTGACATTTTGGATAAGTGCAATTATGAATGTTTTATGAAAGAATCAAAGATTAGTCATACAAAGCTGACTTATTAACCCTTAATCTGCTGGAACCAAAAGTGACCAGCCTTTGCCACCAGAATAAAACCAGGCCAGCCTGTACTTCTGTGCAGTCTGACCAGGCTCTATATACTGTTGGAAGCTCAATATTTTGTATTTTGATACTGAAATCCCTTTAACTTTGAATGGACTATTCCAAATTCAAAGCTGGACAGACCCATTTTAGAAATATAGTAGATTATTGGTTAATGTTAAAATGATAATTCCTGTATATACAACATGTATCATTGGCATAACATTCAATTATTGTGAAATTTACTATAAATGAATCAGCTTCACTGGTGGATGAAGACCGTTATTTCTACTAAGTATCATTTCAATCATGAGTGGTCACCTCAGTAAAACTATCTACATTTGCAAAGCTAGCTAAATAGCTTCCTTTAATGATAGAATTCAATATCCCTTGCAGAATTCAACCCACAGCAGTTAGACAAAAATCAATCAGCTACCTTTCAAGCAATAGAGGCAGTCTATGAGTTAAACTGTTGATGCAAAATCAATAAACCAAATTGGCACTGGGTTCTTACAATAACTTTATCATGAGACATAGATTCTCTTAGATTTACAAACATCCTAAAGAAATTATTCACAAAGATGGTTCAAGACAGATATATTAATTAAGCAAAGTGCAACAAGGGAGATAACTAACCAAAACATGGACTGATGTCTATAATGTCTATTTTCTCCTGCCATATTAAATCCTGCCAGTCTACCAGTCATTGAGGCATGGTCAAAGTGTTCTACACGCCGTCGTCCTAGTTTAACATCATAAAATGATGCACAGTCACCAGCCTAAATGAAAAAAACATAGAAACAAATAAGGAATGTGTCAATAGGACAGGGATGCCCCCACATTCCACTGTTTTGTCGGTCTAGATAGTATGACAGATGGACAGACAGTGGAAATTCTACAAGACTCCCCCTACCCCTAAGTGGTTGGGGCATAAGATGACATCCAATTTTTTAATCTTGACTTTTTCCCAATATTGACCTGCTAGAATTCCAAATCACAATTTTATATTCTGAAGCATGCTTAAAAGAAAATTAAGACAAGGCACAAGTACACATGCTGACCAAAATTTCTGTAAAGTTTCATGACTCTAGGTCAAATACTTTTGCAAGTTGAAAATTGCACTTTTTTTACTAAGTCAAGGGCAATAACTCTACAAATATTAAATAAATACACAAGAAAGTTCCCAGGTGCACAGCTTCATATACTGGCTAACATTCCTGTAAAATTTTATAAAAATTTAAAATTGCAAATTTTTATTTAGTCTACTGAAATAACTCTAACAAAACTGAATTAATCCACAAGCGAATCCCTAGGTGCACAAACTTCACATGCTGATTAACATTCCTGTAAAGTTTGCTGTCTCTAGTTCAAGCACTTTTAGAGCTACATGTGACACAACATCTTGGAACAGACGCAAGCACGTTCAGATGGACAAGGGGAAATCTAAAAGCCCTCCCTAGTGTTAGGGCATAAAAATAAAACATGATTGAAATTCATTCCATCCAATCAGATACAGATTATGTTTTGGGTTTACCTAAAGTTTGTATAAAATTAACAGCAGGAAGCAATATAACCAGTTTAAATAGTGTGTGGTGAGAATTTTTTAAGTTATGTAAGATTGACAGTCTCAACAGCAGCAAAAAAAAAAACACAAGTGATTTATTAATGTTTTCAGAACCAGATATTTAAATATTTCAACTTTAAACTGTGAGATAAACTTGTGACAAATGCACTTACTGCCCAGATATCGGAGCGAGCTTGGAGCTCGGAATTGACACGGAATCCTCCAAACTGATCATCTACCTCTAGATCTCCACTGTATGCTAGATCAGTGTTAGGTTCTATACCCACAGCAACTACAACATGATCCACTTGTAACTAGAAATAATATGATACCATATGTTATAATAGTGACTGATATTACTTAAAGCAGAAATCAATGCTTCAAAAAATGACAAAATAATTTACAAAATCAAGCCTGAAAGAGGTGACCTCTTTGGACCAATTTAAACAAAGCATGAAGTTAAGACTGCACACTTGCTTTGTTTAAGGTTCTTTGTAAATTGCACAGGAAAAGAAAATAACACAAGCCAAATCCTTTGCTGTACGCAATTATAAAATGAAAATCATTTCAAGCGAGGAACCTACAGGACCAGGAAAATATAGAGCAGTGTGTCTGATATAACCATTTGCTTTCACAACCCAGCATTACCAACATTCTAGAGAATATTTCATTCAGTTTAAATAACATTTTTCATATTGACAATGTTTCAAATAGATGATGTGCAAGCTAGATAAAAGAGATATTTCTAGAATTCATATGAAAAACTTTCTAGAAAAACAATATGGTAGTTTTTATAATTATAGCCTCAAAACAAAGAAGGTGGATCAAGAAAGTGTCACACTGAGGGAACTAAATATTACAAGGTAAAACTTACATGTTTGCCATTGCTGAGACCCAATTTCACCTTACCATCTTCATATACTGCAGACTTTATACTAACTTCAGACATAATATCAATACCATCTATAAAACAAGAAAAAAATCTCTTATATATGATATCACATTTCTGTCATCTGTATGTTGTTTTTTTGTTTTTTTTTTATAAAATCAACATCACACTAAAAGAGGTTTGTCCAGAACAAATTTGTCCTCCCTTACCCATCTTTTTTAACATAGACAATAAATGTCCTTGAAGTTGCCAGAACAAAATTTGGTAGAAATGAACACAGCTAGGCTTTCTCAATGATGTCTATTTCTATCTATGGCAAACACATGTATCAAATTTTTGATACATAAAGGGCCACAACTTTGTTTTCAAAAAATCTGGGTACAATATACAAATGAATAGAACTGGTAGGATTATACTTCTAACATCTTGAAATCTAGCTTATGCTTAAGTAAGACAAAGCATGGAAAAAGTGAAATTAATTGCAGACAAAAACAATGTTTGGCTGTGACCCTTTTGTTTTGGGCGTTGTGAATCGAAGAGTTTAAAGATATTTTTAATTAAGCTTACAAATTGTCATTGGTTTACTTGCCAAAAATTAATGCACAAAAGGATATGTTAAAATAATTATTTCTAATAGGTTAATATTTCATTTTCAGTAGAATATAAAGCCAACATGTGTATTTATTTACCGTCTTTAAATTTCTGTGTTGTCCAATCACTGAGGTATGCAGGAAGAACTTTTGCCATGATTCCTTTGGAAGAAAATCAAATTTTTAGCCAATTTTATGTACAAATTAAACATAAATAGTACACAAGTGTGCTATAAATGCCCATGTACCATCTTACTATGATTAAGATGTAAAGCAATGACGAATTACAGGACTGAACATTTTTTTTCTTTCAGAAAGCACCTGTCCGGTTGATAGATTTGCTACCCAATTAACTAAGCACAATTATCACAACCATTGATTTCAGCTATGTTTGAGAGTTTGAGATCAAACTCTACCAAACATCAAGAAATCCTGGGCATTCAAGCAATTGGTTTACATGAACCAAGTTTAACTATAGTATCATCTGTATTGAAAATGTTCAAGAAATATTTTGCAATGGATTCTTATGCATACAAGGCATGGAATATTTTTTTTGTTTTATTTCTTTTTTATTTACTCAATTCTTATTACTTCATGTCACTGAAAACATTTTACAGCATGTAAAATATATTTAAATCACCAATGGAATCCCAATAAAAAATTCCTGTAAGAGTGTATCTATTTATAAATTGCATTTTTACTGTTACCTATCCAAATCATGATTAGATAACTGGTTTAAAGTACATACTGAATATATAAATACATGTATATAAGACAAAACAACTACCTTTCTCTGGAAACAGCTGATGTACTTTGAGACCCTTTGAGTAACCTTTGAAGAAATAAGTAATACATGTAAATTACTGATGAAAAGAATTTTTAATAAGTTTAAAAAGTTCTAAAACAAATCAAATCATAGTATTGACCAATAAGTAAAAGTAGATGGGGAAAAAAGGTTACGAACTTGAACAAATGCTAACACATATAAGTCTGGATTGTTATTACCAACATGTGAAGGTAAAACTGATAGTGAAATAAATACACATGTCTGTCAACGGATCAATGAACTGTACAAAAAGAAAACATTTTATAGACTTATATTACTGATACAATGTACTTGACTACTTGTCATTATCACTTTATAAGTTATCAATGACAATCATGTTATCTGGAAGAAAAACAATGCTGTTAAAACTACCTGTAAAAATGTACCACTTCCTTAAAATAACCATATTTTTATTCAAACCTGTTGTTATATTTTTCTGGACCTTTAGGATCATTGATTCCAACAATTTGCTGTTTCAACTTGAGTACTGCTCAAACGGATGCTAGGGGGCATGAGGAATGTTTCATTTTTTCACTGCTACGGGGCATGAGGAATGTTGCACCTTTTTAATATCACTCATGGACAGACTCAATCAAACTAAGTCTGCAATTTTCATGTAATTTTGTTGTGATTAATGCTTCCAAGGCATCACCTTTTTCCAGATATTTCCATATATGCATTACTTTAATTGAATAAATAAAAACTTCTTCATTACTTCCAACATCCAAAGTAAGATTTACATATAAGCCCCTATATCATTTTGTTACAACAAAAACATAATAAAATAAATACCTCTATAAGAAATGCCTACAGCAAGTTCACTGCCCAGAAATCCTCCGCCTATCACAGCTACAGATTTTGCTGATTTTACTGCATCACTTAATGATATTAAATCATTATACTGAAAATATAATTACAAACAAGCATTAACAACATGAATAATAACTCTTTCTTTCACAATTTATAAAATCATACAAGTTAAGTGATAAAAGCAACAAAAAGAAAATACTTGTTATGAATTGCCAAAGGTAAAAACTTTCTTTTTTTTTAATCAAGTATTCTTTTGCATTTTTTACTGTGGTTATATTCCTGAAAGGGACCAGCCCTAAAGTTAACAAGATATGTTTGTAAAACATGTATGCCCCCTATCGGCAGCCAATTAGTCACATGATTAGGTCATTATTAGGGCCGGGAATTGTATTCGAATATTCGAATATTCGAAACACTACCGAATATTCGAACATTGAAAAATGAATACGAATATTCGAAAAAAAAAGTGTTTATTTTTTGTAATTACTTTCAAATTTCAATTAAGATAGCAAATTAAACCATTGACCTTTACTTGGCCAGTTGTTCACACGTTTGTATGACACGTGTCAACGATTATCGCCAATTAACTGTGAAAACTTTGGGGTCTATAGTTGATCAAAAGGGCACCCGTTTCACAGTTTGCAATTTACCTGTTGAACAGAATATAATGTAATTTTCCGATTTTAATTATCTTATTTATTGTTTTCTGTGCAATAATCTGTCCGATTAATCAGTCATTGTCTTAAATTTTGTGAAGACGAAAAAATCGACACGTATTAATCGGTGCTTTATGTAAGCATGGTCAGTGTCTATATTCCGTCAAAATATATTTATTCCGTAGAAACTAAGACTCCGTGTGATATTTACTGCGTTATAGCTAAATGTATCTGAAGAATATTTTAAACCTTATCTAAAATTATAAATAAATAATATATTTAATTCAAGTTAAGTTTCAATGTAAATTATGTGTTTGGGGGGCTAAGAAGATACGGTGATTCATATTACTGTCAATCAAGTCACGTTACCTACCGTTAATAAGGAATGTAGGACAAAACTCCACCAGTTAAAACCCCACCACTCAAAATTTTATAGAGTGGACAAAACCCCACCACTAAATTTTATAGAGTGGACAAAACCCCACCACTTAATTTTATAGAGTGGACAAAACCCCACCACTTAATTTTATAGAGTGGACAAAACCCCACCACTTCAGTGGACAAAACTTTCTTGTAAACATGTTAAAAAACAAACAATTGTGCATCAGCAGAAACTCGAAAGAATGTGTGAACACCTCATCAATAAGGAGAAGACTGTACCCGAGTTTCTTCAGGCTATCAGCCACAGTATCCACTTAAACTAAGTACAATGAACTACAATGAAGGAAAATTGACTGAACTGAATGAATTAGAAATGTGCTATAAAAATGTGCTATTTTTTAATCATTAATTGATGAACATTTGCTACATTCTTGATTAATAGTAAGTAGTTTATTTTTTATATAAATAAATTGAAGAAATGAATTTGAAGAAACTAAAAATAATGGATAATTCAAGGTCATAAAGCACAGTCTCAAATAAATGACTACTCTTTGATGTTGATTTAACAGTTTGTAAATTATTTGTATAATCTCTTATATTACACAAATGTTATATTGAAATTAAAAAATAAAATGTGAAAATGTGTACTATATATTATATATATTTTAATTCATCAAATCTTGCCCAATAATTGCTAAGTGGTGGAGTTTTGTCCACTCTGTAAAATTTAGTGGTGGGGTTTTGTCTACTCTATAAAATTTAGTGGTGGGGTTTTGTCCACTCTATAAAATTAAGTGGTGGGGTTTTGTCCACTCTATAAAATTTAGTGGTGGGGTTTTGTCCACTCTATAAAATTTTGAGTGGCGGGGTTTTAACTGGTGGGGTTTTGTCCGTCTTCCGTTAATAAGACCATGAAGACAAATGACCAGCAGTCAGATTAACTGAACAAAAGGCAATCAAATTATGAATTTATTTCAGATGTAAACATTTATGTCGATTTACAATATATAAAATAAAAAACTTTTACGTAGTTATATAGGTATTTTTAATCGTGGATTATTCCAAACATATTAAAATTGTACAGTATTCGACGCAAGCAATTTCGGATACGTATACGTCAAAGAGAAATATTGGTACAAATGTTGTAAAAACGAATATTCGAATATATTCGAATATGGAAAACGAATATTCGAACATCAAATTCCCTATTCGTTCCCAGCCCTAGTTATTATGCATGACTTCTGACCCAGTGAACAAACAATTAATAAGGGTTATCTAGTATCTACAGGTCATGACTAGTCACAAGGTAATAATTATTGTGACCCCATAGGTTGTGTGCAGCAATTTAAGTTATTACAAATCTTACAAATAATATATGCATAAATTTTATGAATCATGTAGGCCTCATTAATGACAGCCAAGTTGTTATATTACATAAGACCTTCAAATGTGTATACCAAAAGCATTTTTAGTTTAATATAAAAATATCAACCAAGGCAACTTGAGTTGTTGAGTTATTGGTCACAAACCGTCATCAAGTACAAGGTCAATATGACATTGACCCCTTGACCCCAAAATCAATAGGGGTCATCTACTGGTCATGACCAATCATCATACCAAGTTTGAAGTTCCTAGGACTAAGCGTTCTTTAGTTATTGATCAGAAACCATTTTTACCTACAACGTCAACGTGACCTTGACCTTTGACCCTTGATCCCAAAATTAATAGGGGTCATCTGCTGGTCATGGCCAATCAACATACCAAGTTTGAAGTTTCTAGGCCTAAGCGTTCTGAAGTTATTGATTGGAAACTGTTTTCACCTACAAGGTCAATGTGACCCTGACATTTGACCCCTAAATCAATAGGGGTCATCTGCTGGTCATGACCAATCATCATACCAAGTCTGAAGTTCCTAGGCTTAAGCGTTCTTTAGTTATTGATCAGAAACCATTTTTACCTCCAAGGTTTATGTGACCTTGACCTTTGACCCCTTGACCCAAAAATCAAAAGGGGTTGTCTGCTGGTCATGACCAATCACCATACCAAGTTTGAAGTTCCTAGGCCTAAGCGTTCTCTAGTTATTGATCGGAAACTGTTTTTACCTACAAGGTCAATGTGACCTTGACCTTTCACCCCTTGACCCCAAAATCAATAGGGATCATCTGCTGGTCATGACCAATCACCACACAAGTTTAAAGTTCCTAGGACTAAGCGTTCTTTAGTTATTGATTGGAAACCGTTTTTACCTTCAAGGTCAATGTGACCTTGACCTTTGACTCCTTGACCCCAAAAATCAATAGGGGTCATCTGCTGGTCATGACCAATGATCATACCAAGTTTGAAGTTCCTAGGCCTAAGCGTTGTTTAGTTATTGCTCGGAAACCGTTTTTACCTACAAGGCCAATTTGACCTTGACCTTTGACCCCTTGACCCCAAAGTCAATGGTGTCATCTGCTGGTATAACCAATCACCATGTCAAGTTTGAAGTTCCTAGGCCTAAGCATTCTTTAGTTATTGATCGGAAACCGTTTTTACCTACAAGGCCAATTTGACCTTGACCTTTGACCCCTTGACCCCAAAATCAATAGGGGTCATCTGCTGGTCATAACCAATAACCATGTCAAGTTTAGTTCCTAGGCCTAAGCATTCTTTAGTTATTGATTTGAAACCGTTTTTACCTACAAGGTCAATGTGACCTTGACTTTTGACCCCTTGACCCCAAAATCAATAGGGGTCATCTGCTGATCATGACCAATCACCATACCAAGTTTGAAGTTCCTAGGCCTAAGGGTTCTTAAGTTATTGATCGGAAACAGTTTTTACTTACAAGGTCAATGTGACCTTGACCTTTGACCCCTTGACCCCAAAATCAATAGGGGTCTTCTGCTGGTCATGACCAATCACCATACCAAGTTTGAAGTTCCTAGGCCTAAGCGTTCTTTAGTTATCACTCGGAAACCATTTGGTCTACAGACCGACGGACCAACTGACCGACGGACCGACAAGTGCAAAGCAATATACCCCCTCTTCTTTGAAGTGGGGGCATAATTAGTTAGATTATTACAAACATCTGAATAAACTGAATTTAGAAAAAGGAAATAATTAAAATTTACATGTGAAAAGAAATCTGAAAATGTATGATTGTAGATTCCCCTTTTCCTAAAGAGTTTAAAGACAAAATTATTTTATACATAATGTCTCAAAACTTCTGAATTAGAATCTAACATAACGAATTTTCAACAACCGAGCTGCTTTGGCCTTAAAACAATGAACAAACATTGTAAGTCAACATAAAGTTAGAATGCTAATTATTAATCAGATAAAAATATCAAAATAACTTGTCACATACATTCCTAAATAAAGTTGTTCTACTTTTAACATCTTCACCAGCTTTTTCTAACACTTCATCATTTCTAGGATATCCGCCTGAAATAAATCAAAAGTGGATAATAATTCTTCAATTCGGAAGGAGATGTAAGAAAGTTAATTTCCCTGCTTATACAAAGACACGCACCCTGCACAAGTCATTTTGTAGTGTACATGCTATTGTATCTATTATGGAATACATGCACTATGCCAATTCAACCAATAACATTTATGTAAGATTTGTGTTCAACAAAGATTCCATTAAACACTTGTACAAATTTGGCTTACTTCACTTTCCCTTATTTCAATCATAATTTCTCCATTTGACACTTTTAACTTATTTCTTTTGTCACAAATGTTTTGTTGTCCAATAATGATATCATAATCAACTTCTATTTGCATATCTATGACATAAAGACCATGTTAAAATAAACCTTTTTTTTACAAAATTAAAAGACATGTATAATCTTATAACTAGAAATATAACCAAAATTTTTATAAAACTAAAGAAATTTTTTTATTTCATTGTTATGTACATTTTGAAAAAAAGATTATATTATCATCACAAATGTCTGAAGAATAAAACTATTCATCACATAAACCACGGCGCAGGAGAGTAATAATGCCATTTTATAAAAACGATATTACACAAGTGTAATAACACTTTGATATGACATGATTTGTACTATATATAAACATACTGTTAAAGTTCCCTATTGTTAGCATTACACTATAGGCGCGTCAATGAAAAAATGACTCGTTTTAACTGTAAACCGTTCTCTTTTGAATATGTGATAAATAGAATATTATATTTGCATAGATTCAATACTCAATTTATTGAACTCGTTGAATAAAACAATATTATACTCACCAGAGGCTGGCATAATATGATTTTATTCAACTAGTTCAATAAAATTTAAATCTACACTCATTCAATATCATCTATATATTATCTGTACACACCTGTAGCAATTAAACATTTATCAAATGTTATTTCTGATCCATTGTCTAACATAACTCTTTTGTTTACAGAATCTAGCTGAACAACCTAATGAAAATAAATAGATAAATGATCATATTGTGAAATGAATTACATGTATGTAAATAACCAAAATGTTTCATAAAATATGTCACAAAATTATTACAAAATGCTGCGTGCGAAGAAAATCTTTATTTTTGTGTGTGTTCTACCCACTTTTGTAAGCTCCCATTTCAATGACCTGAATAAGAACTATTTTCAAATACATTCATATGGGTTATCATATCAACTACAAGCCTCCGCTTGTTTGTTTCATAAATGAACCCTTATAATATTATGTCATTTCATTTGTCAAAGCTCAAGAAAAGTATTGAAATCTTTAAGAAAATATGATATAAACCTTACAATGGTTCAGCAAATATGTGTATAATTTAATACAAGCTATTTAACTCATTTCAATTGAAAAAGTTACATATTAACACAAAAACAGCAGTTACTGAACAATTTGCTGAGAATAATGTGTATAATGTGTTTACCCTTGTGTTTTTAAGAAGACCCAATCCCCCTCTCTCAGAGAAAGGCAATTTTTTAGGCTCCATGTATATACCCTCTAATAAAAATATCCTGAAACAGAAAAGAAACGGTGATCACAAATTATACTAGCATAATAAGATGAGTCTATCAAACACAGATGCTTTCATCTTAAATTTGTTTATCAAGGTGAAATTTCCATAATTTTAGAATTTAACAAAAAATCTTTACAATGAACATGTTCTTGGCTACCTCACCTAAAAATGCTTAACAGAATATTTTTTAGCATTTGAAATAAGTTTCGATGCAACAAAATTGTACCATTGCAAATAAATTGCTACACATTTACAGTCGAGACTGCCTTAGCGACCCCCTGATTTCAACGACTCCCTGTCTTATCCGACCTTGTTTCAGTCCTCCCAACGTATTTTCCTATATAAATGGTCTGAATTATACGACTCCCTGTCATATGTGACAAGCGACCCTAATTATCTGGTCCCAAAGCATTGCTTTGTCTGATTTAAACGACTTTCACACCTTTTAATTGTCCGTTAATCAGATAAATAATTCCATGTTTTAACACCAAGAGAGACAAAATAATTAAGTCCAATTATAATCCAGTAGTCAGTACCCTTCAAACAAACTCTACACACCTCTGATTACATGTATATATGCAGGTGTCAAGTGACGTAGCGTCTGGAGTGTCCGTAGCGTCTGATGCAATCGATGTGTGTTAAAAAATTGAGGTCACAGGTGTAATGAACATAATGAACTGAGTAAACTTGATTAAGACTTGTGTTTAAAAAAATATGGAGTGCCAACGGAAGATTTTTTTATTTTACCTTTCTATGGCTGCATGGATAATACGGAAAAATGTTGATACCAGACTAATATGGATATGTTTTTAAAAGTATGATATTTATTTTAAGGATTTGAATGCGTCAAATTCAAGTTTATTTTGTACCATAATGATTCAATATTAAACTAATACAAAAAATAAAATAAATTTTTTTATGATATACATACTGTTATATTTGCTTTACAGGGATTCTTATTTTATTTACATCAAATATTTAAAGTACCTGCAATTGGTTAGATATTATTCCTTCACACAGTTATACAGTATATATGTTAAGTCACAATGATATATAGACAGATAGATGGTATTTAAATTTTAATTTTCTATGAGACTGTATCAAGAGACTCCCTGTCATTAGTGACCTTTTTCTCAAGATCCCTTGGAAAGTCACATATGACAGTCTCGACTGTACTTTCATAAATCAGCTAATTATTAACCAGTCTTAATAAAAATAACTTGAAACTGTAAATTAGTTGGTCTTAATTAGTAAGCATTTACCAAATTTAATTTAGTGAACATCAGTGCCATTTTTGACCAATGTAATCCTGTAAATGCTTACTAATAAAAGCTAACCTATACCTATTTAAAATTTCAGAATGATAAACTATGATGATGGATTTACTATGAAACTTTATAACTGTTTTTCTTCAAACAGGTCTACAATTATTCATATTAAAACTTTGGAGATACATACGTAGACTTCTTGCCTCTCATATTTGTATATTGAAATTCTTTCGCAGCATCTTCATTTTCATCATACCAGAAATGTTTTGATAAAGGTGGACGCCAGTATGGTAAATAATCTTCATCTCCGATCATTAAAACCTAAAGATAAAAATATTCAGAAAAGGAAATGCTAATGATTATAACATCTTCTGTAAATTATTCTATTTATCTATCTTAATGATACTCATATTTTTGATTGCTAGCAAGAAAGCCCAATAAACTGAAATTCCCTAATGTACTCAATCATTATCAGTTATTAAAGAATTTAATTAAAGTATTCTTTTCCTTACTAAATGCAATTAAATTTATTTACATTAAAACCATAGAATAACTCACCTTAGCTTTTGGATCTGTAGTTTTGATAGCTTTAAATGCCTCTATTGATGCTATACCACTTCCAATTAGTAAATAAGGTACATGACTTGGTATTTCTGGTACCTTAGACCAATCTATTTCTTCTGTAAATAAAACCATTTAAGAATATTCAATATGGTTTGTACTAGAAGTTTACATTAAAGAGTTGGTGCTGTTTTTACTCAACATTATTTTTAAGGAAGAAGTTGGTAATTTATCCTTTTATCCTGCTGAAACCAAAAGTTTGATTATTATTAGAGTTGTTGGACCAATGCTTGGCACATACCAATGCTCAGTGTATACTAATGCTTGGTATAAAATAGTATTTCTGTATGAAGTTAGAACATCTGAAAATGTTTCATAGAATATCCACAATCATGCAGTCTGACCAGGCTCTTTACTGTAGGTAGTTCAATTTTTACATTTTGTTCTTCAAATAATCTCTTCTTTTTAAAATGGACTGATCCAAATTCAAAGCAGGGCAAATCCACAACACAAATTTAGCAGGCTAATGGGCTGAAGTTGTGGAATCAGGTTTGTCTCAAAAATAGGTGATTTTGGAGTTTTAAAACTATAAGTAATACAAATCTAAAGCCAAAAATTAAAACAATGACTTTTGTTAAATTCAAAATAATGGTGCAAGTGAAAATAATGAGATTTCCAGCAAGTATACAGCTTAAAGATGGAAAAGTGGGAGTAAAACAGAAGTTTTTGTGACAGAAAAACACTAATGAGTCATTAGAACTTTTTTAAAGCTGCATGCCTCCAGATGAGTCAAAATATTTCAATAAAATCAAACTTGAGAAAAATGTACTAAGATGTAAGGAAAAGTAAAAAGTTTCAAGATTCAAGAAATATTTAACATATTATGTGTGATTAATGACTGAATTTTCAGTATTTACAACTATATTTCTACTGCGTATCTAACGCAGTAAAGGCTATTTATGCATATTTTGACCACTTTTCGGTAATTTACTTGGTTTGTAAGTGCCATTGATAATGTGTAAATTGCTTCCTTTTGGTTACTTCACAATATTACACAATTCATCTAAATACATTTTCAAATTTCCATGAAAATTAGCATAAATCTGGAGACGTGCTGCTTTAACATCAAAGATGTGTTTCTACACAATATTGCTACATTATAAACCCTGGTTGCTGTTTTCTCAATACACAGAATTATATGCAACAACCATTTCCATACATTAAATAATTTTTCTAAATCAAATATAGTTCAAAACTTTTTACTATAATTATATAATCATTCTCACTTTTTCTTGATCTGACTGATTACTTATGGCTTACTTATTGAAATTATTCATTATCAAATGCTTTGCAACAGACACCTTTAAATTATCTATCATTGATTAGAAGGTGATTTTTACAAAAAAAAGATCATCATAACTGCTGGATCAATCTTGATTATCATTTTTTTAGTTAGAGGGCTGTGCTACATATGTCAACAGCTGATTAATTCCCTACTTAATATTATCAGCTGAATTTTCTTTACTGTTATGTTACCTTCTTGTTTATCAAATTGTTCTGCATTTGTAATTAAAGCATTAGTATTGCTGTCTGCTATAGATTCTTCACCAACACTTGTGTCTTTTTCAGACTTGTCTGTTGGCTTGTCTGTTTGAGACTTCTCCTCTGACTGTGAGGTAGTTTTCGTGTTTTTGGAAGAAGCTCCGTTACTTGCATGTAGTTTCTTTCTTTCATTCCAGACCTGTATTATTAATTCATGATTTCAAATAGCAAATTAAATTACTTTTATCTTTTTTAAAAGCTAAATTTATTATTACAATAGTGTTTGATAGTTGAAAACATTATCACATACACGGTGACATGCATTAAGTATCAAGTGAAAACCTACTTTGAAGTTTAATATTGCATGCATAATTTTAACCAAGAATTTTCAAAGTTAAAAAGGGACATAATTCTGTCAAAACCTATGCCACAGTTATGGGCCTTAAAGGGATGGATACTGAACCCTATATTCCTCTCATATAGGCATGTGAAGTTACTTGCAAATATTATTAGTGATTGATGAGATAAAACATAGTATGTTAAACTTTAACAAAAGTGTTACGATGATGCCGAAGCCAACTTGAGTAAGATAGCCTACTATTCTTTGAATAGTCGAGCTAACAAAATTAAAGGATCATCAAAATATAATATCATCAACAAAAAAGTAATTACCATATAAGATGTAATGGAAACTCCTAGTCCTGCTAGAACAGCTATCATATATGACCGTGACCTATCTTCAGTCTCATTCTGGTTGTGATTTTGCTGCGTGTGTGGTGATGTGTGTAGCTGTGAACTTGAGCAACGGGACAAACAACAGCATCGTGGAGCTAGAAATTTAAAACATATGTCATACATGGGTCTTTCAGGTAAGATTTGAACTGAATTGTTTTCAAAATAACTGTATCACATTATTTTTTTTTCCAGTTTTGATATAAATAAAGAGATGTAAAAAAAGTTAAATCTAAGTGTGTTTTTTTCTGAATTTACAGATATTTTCGAAAGATTTTCTGGTTTTTATCTCCTCTTGTTGCATTTTCTCCCTTATATAATGACTGAAATAAATCAGCACCACAAAGAAGATAATCCTTTGGATATATTGGTGCAAGCCACAAGCGCTGATTGCATCTATTTAATGTATACTTCAAGATAATAATTAATGGTGAGAATATGAAAAACTGGGATGAATCTCTAAGTTTAACAATTTAGCTTAGCTTAAAAAATTAACAAGAGCTGTCTGAGAAGCAGTATGCTCCACTTTTCGTATGATAAAAGCAAAGAAAAGGGGGCATTATTTGGCAAAAAAAAACCAACAACAGAATTTTTTGCCCATGAATTAAAGTATTTCAAGCTTAAAGTGAATATATGTGGTAATATGAAATTAGGCAAAGCCTATGATCAGGGCAGTTGGTTAAAATAATCGTTCATTTTTCTGTTTTATAGGTGTTGACTTATGCACTGCTTCAGAACACTCTACATTTATTATTAATTTGAAAAGTTTCGATTGTTCCGTTATGTCTTTTATTTGATTTCCTTTAAAATATACATGTGTAGTCTATACCCGAGCAAGCCAAAGCTTCCCTGTATTAAATTTTAAAGGTTACTGTGACACTGAGTGATTGTCCATTGACCTTTTAATGTCTAATGGTGTGACAGGTAGAACATCATGACATATATCAATTGTTCACGTTTCAATGTTAGAGCTTTCTTAGTATTAAAGTAATTGACAATTAACAAAAAAGGTCAACCAATTCAAATGGCATTAAGTTTGAAAGGACAACTATAATTATAGTCAATCCTCTCACACGTTTTCTTCAAAAAGTGGTTATAAAATTATTGAGAATTTGATGCTAAAAGACATGTCAATGCTTGAAACATAAACAAGTATGACAATTAGCAAGCAGGGGGGCAATTTACTAAACTTGTACTTTCTGATCAGGTGAACAGTTGAGGTGGGTACATTTAGTTTTGGGTACGATACGTTTTATCAAATTCACGGCAAAGTGATATGGACATAACTTACCATAAGTTATTTCATATCCATGCTACATTCTTTATTAAATATTAGACTAAACGTGTTCTGCAATGAAACCGCTTGCGGCTTACAGCCAGAAAACCGAAAAATACATGATGTAACCGGTGTCATTTTGGGTAGCGAAAATGCTAGAAAATGTCAAAATAATTATGTTGCAAGCATCAGTGATAACAAGTGTGGCTTTGTTATAGCATAAATAAAGTGCAAGCACTTTGAAAACAATCACCTTTTAAACATTTTGCTTGTCTCGTCAGTCTTACAGAATGTGTAAAACGTTGAATATTTTTACTCCACATGTTTGTAAATGTCAAAACAAATAAAGAGTTATAAAGGGAGACAATCGAGGTATTGATGCTACTTCGGACCATGATCATTTCAGTTCAAATTTTATAGTGTAGTATAGTGTTTTATAGAATAGAATAGAATAGAATAGAATAGAATAGGAATAAGAATAGGAATAAGAATAGAATTTACTTTTGTTTTCAGTCATGGGTCATTGTTGGCATCACCACGGATTTATATTACAATAATAATATAAATCCGTGGCATCACACATTATAAATTGTATGAAACAATAAATTAATAAATAGCTAGTGAAGTTTTTGTTCCCTGATCAATATGCATTGCAAATGTCATTTTATTTTTCAGCTGTCGTCATCGTCATCTTAGTAGCTGATATTTTTTTAATTTATTATTATTAATTATTATTATTATTATTATTATTATTATTATTAGTTGGCTTTCATGTGCTACCTGAAGTTTTTACATTATTCAGAATGTTTTTAAATGTTCATAACTAAAGCTTGTTTGCTTTTTTTTTTAAATAAATTAGCTATTTAAATTTGATAACCTTTGTATAACATTCTTTTATCTATAAGCCTTTATTGGATGAATGCCATTTTTCAACAAGAAAAGCATTGATGCAAAGCATCAAAGGGCGTCCAAGCAAGAAATGCAGCAAGTGAAGATGAACTAGTACACATATGATGACAAGATATTCTTATAAACTACCAGAAATGTATACCACTTATGAATGAGCGGACGAAAGACATTGTTCATTATGAACTTTGATTAGCATGCTAGAGATTAGAATATTACTTGTTATTTCTTTATGATCGTGGTTATTAATAGCAACGGATATACATGTATGCAATCATTTATAATCCATATGTGTAACGCATGATCAACACGTACCACACATTTGTCCCTTATTATGTACATGTTATCGCTATTAGCGAAGACCCCCTTAAGGTATCTGTTCACACTTTAAGTTAGTAAAAATATGACACTGGTTATATTACCATGTTGATCATGTTGAGCATAATTGTTTATTATACAATAATTGAAATATCTATTAATTTTAATTAAAAAAAAATACAAATTTTTATGAATATTGTTTTCTTTTATTCTTTTTTGTGTTTTATGTGCTATTTTAATACTGAGTTTTTTACTACTCTTTTTTATTAAAATTGTAAAATAAATTTTAAGAATTCAATTGTCATATTTGACCGACGATTATAAGTCAAGCTTAACTGGAAAAAGTCAGTAAATCATGGTTTATCTTTCAATATATAATATTGTTTATTCTTAAAAACCATGTACATGTACATTGTATTTTTCTTTATCATTTTTTTAAATTATCGATCAATTGAATAATTCATAAAAAATCTAATTTGTAACTTTGAATAATTCCTCGGCATCTTTACTAAACACGGATAACAAATTGAATAATTAAAATAAAATGTTTCAAAAGTTGATAATGTCATTTTAATACCATAAAAAATGTACCTTTTTTCTCAATTATTGTACATATCACGGATTTATATTACATATAAATCCGTGTACATATTTATTGTTTTTTATCTCATATAGATAAAATGAAACATCTATTGTTGTTTTTTTTCTAATTGTAACGATATCAAACATCTACTCCAAAAACCGGGAGAGACCCGGACAATAAACGTGTGGTACTATTCGCCGGTCACTAGTAAATCCTGGTCAAAATAGACCGGGAGAGAACCGGCATTTTACCGATAGGAGTGATAAAAAAGAGATATATCTTAAATGGGTTTTT